TAGAATATTCTGCCCTTGGAAGGTCAGGTTCTAAAATGGATCCATTCTAAGTCGTAAGACTATTTCAGAGGTCTGTGTGTATAACTTAAAATCAGCATGCTCAATAAGAGTGAAAGTCTATTCTGATGCACAACAATATATCTGCTTTTTAAAATGAGCTTGAAAAAAAACTACGGTTGTTATTAGTATTGCATGCAAAATAATTTGTTATATCCTATGCAATGTAGATACGGTCATGGCAATACAATGATATTTGCTGCTGTATGCCTACATAGTTTTCAAAACTAAAATTAAATGCTTAGCTAAATTGCTAAGCAGACTGGTAAATGTCCAATTTTAGCAGCCTAGCATATGTTTATAATTTTTGTTTTAACATATGCTATGTTGGTTGAACTCCCCTCCCCACACATACGGTAGATAAAAGCTGTCACATCACAAAATGGTGGCAGCCCAACTTTTCTAACATTTTCCATGGCACTTCAGAGTCTTGCATTAATTAGCTATTCTTGGATAGGAGACAGACTCTCATCTTTGTAGAATTTTGGTTTCAAACCCATCATATACTTTGGTTTCTGTATGCAGTAGCCCATCTGTGTTTTTGCAGCCATGAACAGTAAAAAGCACAGGGCGCACAGAAAAGCGGTCAGGGAGAGTGAGGATGCCCTGGCTTCCCAGAGATAAATACCTAGCAAATGGCCCTGAAAGCAGGCCTCTTTGGTTCACCCGTGGCTCTAGTTTGCTTGAACAAGAACATTTTATCTCCCACTTTTGTAGGGGAGATGGGTGAATAAAACAGCACTGGTGCCACAGGCCTTTTTCTTTTCATTGTGAGCTGCTAAACTACTCCTCTTTTCTCCTCCTTTTTCAAGGCAGGCACAAGGAGGAATTTCACCAGGTCTAAGATTCTTTCCTAAACCTCAGTGGAGCAGAGGTTTGTGACAAATACCACTGCAGCTGTGATAATGCTGTCTTAATCCTTTCTGCACTGTGATGTAGAAAGACAGATTTAGACGTGCAAGGACATGCCTTAACAGTACAGCAATATGATACTTTATCACATCAAACTGCCTTTTTTTTTTTCGCATGTGCTCTAAAATTACAATATTGTTTGGTATTCTGTCTGCTGTTTCCCTGTCGCTAAGCTCCTGACTGTGGTGTGCTTCTGCATGTGTAATGTCTGCCGTGCTGCTGTACGGGGGATGGTTGTTTTTTGTGGGGTGGATGAAGGAGCCTTGCCAATCAACTTGAAACTGCTGTAGAAGTGGCATGGGGTCTATGGTAGAGGACTGTCACATCTGTGCCTGGTCTATCCGCAGCAAGGACGGGGTTGTTCTGATGCCTTCATCCCTGGGTGGCATGGGTGCCACCTCCTGCCCTCTGGTCTACCTTGAAGTTGCTCAAAAGCTCATACCACGTGCAGGCATAATTCCAAATGTATTGCCAAAACATAACGTACAACATCATCCCTATCGAAGATCTGAGTTCATGCAGTTGTATTAGACATCTCAGTATGGACACTGAGGTACAGGGACAGACCCATGGAGCTTCAGAGGAGCTGCTGAGGCACCCAGGAATGTAGCAGTGGCAGCGCCAAGGTAAGGAGCTGTGCAGCAGGAGATGGTGGGCTCGATGCTTGCCTGTCCACCTGCAGTGCTTTGAGAAGCCCCACTGGGAGCTGCTGGCAGGGCAGCCTGTATCCAAAACCCTGCGTCAGCTCCCAGCTGTGCCTGACCCACTGGTAATGCTGGTGGAGCGCTTTGCCATCTTTGGATTGTAGATGCTAGTGGTGGTTGTTCAATGTTTATTTCCCATTTACGTATTTGTTTTCAGTTACAGGACCCAAAGCTGCTGTTTGGCTTGCTGTGGTTGTTAGCTGGCTGGCAGTCTGCTGTGGGATTCAGGTTTTGTTAGTGTGCACAGAAACCAGTTTCTTTTTACTGCCAAATAATAAACATTGTGGAAATGAGGAAAATAAGAAATCTAATCTGTGCTTTTTCGGACTTTTAGATAGATGTTTACTAGAAAGTAACTGTCTATTTATTACATGTGAGCATAAATAATTAGTGTATCCTTAACATCAGTTATTTATTGCTAATAGAAAGGTAAAAAGCTTTCTTTGTTTTCCAGTGTTGCTCTCCATCCTGGTAAACATTTCTTTGATTTGAAGGTTTCTTTTACAGTGTAGAGTGTAAACATGGCATTTTCCTTCCTTCTCTGTGGCTTCTCTCCCCAAATGTAATTTATCACCAGTTGAGTTGAACTAAGTCTAATATACTTCTGTAATGATCCTGGAAGTAGTATACATGAGTCTGTAGTGGGAGAAGGGAGCAGAGAGAGTTGGTGAAAGACTTTAATGTTTCTGGCACTTTTTTGTGTGGCTCCTTTACTATTTGTTTGCTGTTGTTTATAGTACTTGGACATTGGGTAACTCATGGGGTGATATTGGATGACTGTAACTTTTTTTCCTTACTGTTCACTGCTTCAGATGAGAATAACAGTGCAGATACTAATGGACTAATACTGCACTATTAAGGCACAAACATAATGTTAGGATGAAAACTCTGATAGAAGCAAGTTTGTGAAGAGTATATATCACTTGCTCAGAAAAATTAGTGTTTCTGAACTATCAGAAACTGGTAGTAGTGTTGCTCATTACAAATACTGAAAAATCATCAGGTAAACCCTTAGAGATGTATGTGTTAGTCTCCCGTAAAAACTATGAGTCTTAAAATAAACAGAGTTGTCATCTCCCTGCTTACGGTTCATGTTCTAATTTCTTTTTCCATAAAGTTATAATCATGAGAACTGTTTATGTGAAAGTTAAACTTCTCATATGATTGTCTGATTCTCAGAGGAATGGTATTTAGGAAAGCAGCAAACATCACGACACTCATGATAAAGTCACGAGAGTTTTTTGTACTTTACAGTTATGTATAAGTTTTGAATCAATTTTTTTAGAAAAATAAATGTATGGGCAGATGGTGATATTTACTTAAGGGAAGCTGAATTCATTATCTGACTAGAACTGGGTATTTCAAGCAGCTGTTTGAAAATGAGAACTCACTTTCCATGAAGGGGAACGTATGTTTGGGGAAAATGGAGCCTGTTTTCAAAATGTAAGGCTATCCCTTGTTTAATGTATGTCAGAGGGGATGTGTATATGTGAATTCATTTATGGAAGAACCTTATCAGTAATAGCCAAGAAGTAATTTGGTGAAATAGTTTTGCAAACTCTTAAAAAAAAAAAGAAAAAAGGCAAAAAAAACCCCAGTCCTTCTAAAAGGTTTTAAAACTACGTAAAAGCTGTAGTTGCTCTTTCTTCTTGAGATATTCAACCAGAAAAAGGACTAAACCAAATACTTAGGGATCTTACACTGCTATGCTGAATTAAATTTCTGAATACCTGACTTGCCTTTACTTCAATTTATTGAGATAGGTCTACCTCCTGAATTAACTATGGAGAACATCCAGGCATAAGGTAGAAGAAAGGAAGCCAAATGTGAACATATGCATTATCTTTTACGGATCTGTTTTTTGGGGACTCTGTATTCTAGAATGAATCTACTTTATTTGCATATATATTTTTGGAGCTTAAGAGTGTGAAAAATAAAATTAGCTTGTTTATTCCTTTTTAGCACTTGTTTCTCTTATGTTCTGGTGGAAAGCTAAGCCAGATACTGTAATCCTAGTGTAAGGATGGAAAGCCATCCCTTGAAGCCTGTGGTCTTTTCATTGCTAATGTCCTTTTTTCCCCCATTTCTTTAAGAAGACTTTCATGGAAAATTCTTACACCCAGGAAACCCATGGCCCTGGATTTTTTGGTTCATAGAGAAATACAGACCAGTTTGTCGTTTAGAGCAGATGCCTTTCCCCAGTCACTAAAATTCTAATGCCTCTGTTTTCCATAATAAGTAAATTATTATGCTTAATTATTTTACTGGAACCTATGCTGTTCCTAGAACCCAGATGTTCGAGCGATTTTGCATCTTGGAATGGGCTTATGCATTTGGAGTGACTGAAGAGCTCATGAACCTCAAAACTCTTTGTTTTTGGAGTTATCTCTTTGAACACTGCAGAGCAATGCAGCTGTGAACACGTGAAGCACAAAACTTGTTTGTAAAGATAGGAAATGAGTTGTTTAGTTCAGACATCTTTCAGGGTCTTATCACTGCATTCCCCTTCCTGATATTTGGGGAGCCTCACAGCTCGGTACAGCGGTGTAAGCCGTGACAATAGCCATTCTGGGAACACATGGAAAAGGGGGTTTGTACTCACCCCAAAATGCTAACATTGGTTCTGACTCTGTGGAGCCTTTATTGTGAATGTTGTGCAGTACTCATATGTGAACTTAATATGCTGTTTGTGTATAAATATATGCCTTGTGATCTGGCCATCTGTTTTTGCACACAGTAGTTCAGTGGTTTGAAAGGTTAAACTGGTTTTGTTTGGCATTAAGTAAGAATTAGCAATGATTGCATAGTGTGGGCCGCTTGCATCTGGTTGATGTGGAACTCCTTCTGTAGCTTCTGCTGATGGGGGGAGGTGATATAACAATGAGTTAATGCTTGGAGTCTTATTATAAGCAAGTCCCTGTCTGCCAAAGGGGGTCGTTAAATTTCTGGGTTTCTCATAAGTGGTGTTCAGTTATTGCCTTGTGTTTTAACTGGATGAAAAATACTGTTTTAAAGAAGGCTTGATGTTTATTCAGCTGTAAAGAGTAGCAGTATCTGGAATGGGGTTAAGGCAAGGTCTAGAGTCATTAAATCTGATGCAATGATGCAGAAGACTGATAATTGAATAAGTTATCCTGTCCTGGCTGAAATTTGATCACAAGCATATTTTCCCTCCTCTGAAGTCAAAATAGTGGTTTATAATGGAAACTTTGTCATATTAATCAAGCAGACATTTGGATTTCGCTCTATCCCTGAGATACTAGCAATTCCTGCAGCAAGACTCTAGTTCCTAACTCAGTGTTTTGTTTTGTTTTTTTTTTTCTCTAGATCATAAGAGTTTGCAATGGCAATGCTCTGGAAATTCATGAGAGTAGCTAAGTATTCTAAAACAGCATTAGCACCAAAAGTAAAGGTAAGAGGAATTCCCACCCATTCAAAGCATTCTTCATCCAAGTCTGTACCTTCAGATTTTGCTGCCAACACAACACCCTGCTCAAATACTGTGGAACTGCTTGGTAAAGCTTATCCTCAGGATGACTACAGCAATGTCACAGAGAAGATTCTTTCCAAGGTGGGGAAGAACTTGCACAACAAAAAGCATCACCCTTTGTGGCTTATCAAGGAGCAGGTGAAGGACCACTTTTACAAACAATATGTAGGACGCCGTGGGACTCCGCTCTTTTCTGTCTATGATGGTCTTTCTCCAGTGGTTACAGTACAGCAGAATTTTGATAGTTTGCTTATCCCACAAAACCATGCCAGCAGAAGAAAAGAGGATAACTATTACTTGAATCGTGATCACATGCTAAGAGCACATACATCAGCTCATCAATGGGACTTGATACACTCTGGCCTGGATGCCTTTCTGGCAGTGGGAGACGTCTATCGCCGGGACACAATTGATAACACCCACTACCCAGTCTTCCATCAGATGGAAGGAGTTCGGCTCTTCTCCTGTCATGAGGTAGGAATCCACTAGTTGAGGTGAAAGAGATTTTGGGTAAGTTGCACGATCTTGTATTTGCTGTAAGCAAAGCGCATGCATGTAAACATGTTACAGCAACATACGTGTTAAGCTGTACGTTGATAAAGATCAAGTGGTTGATCATGTAGTTACACTTTTTAATTTGGGAAAAATATAGGTGGAAAAAGTTGAATTTGAAAACAACTCTAAACTTCCCCAGAAAAAGGTGGACAAAATGGGAAGACAATATTCCTGAAAGCTAGCAAAATAAGAATTATCTGAAAGGAAACAGCCCCTTCAGGTGATGATCTGCATGATTCAATTCTAGTTCTGTCACAGGTCTTTCTGATCAGATCAATTTACCTGAAATTTTGTCATACTAATACTTGAAGGACTCATGGATGTGAGTTGTTGCAGCTACATCCAGAGTGCAGTTTTTATTATGTCATCTTTTTTTCCTTTTAATACCTCCAACCTTCTGTAAATGAATGTCTTCTTTAATGAATTGCTCCATTCTTCATCCCATCCTAAAGCTGCCTTGAATGATTCATCTGTTGCAGCTGATAGTTATGGGTGTGTAATACATACACAGCAAACTCATCAGAGTTCAGGGGCATCAGCTAAAGAGCTCTAGGTAGATGTCCAAGACTCTTGAGTTTATATATTTCGTTGGCACAGCTTGCATGTTCTGCACATGCTCGGGTGTCATTAAGTATTCTGCTGTATCGTTGATGAATAGTAAATATAAGCCAGTTTGTTTTCCAAATAGTAATTGATTTGTATAATTTGTGTATGCTCGTAGCAGTACTGCCAAATTCACATTTCTATAACTAAAACTAGCTTATTCTAATAATACTGAGATGTAGAACGTTCTTAATGTGGTTGCCAATGGGTGACAGGAGCTTGGCAGGGAAGCCTGATGGGTTTGGATGCCTGAGGGAAAACTAGGATAATCATAGAGCGCTGCTTTTCTCACTGGTGGAGAGGGTTCGTGCTGCCTGCACTGGTGTTTCCCACCTCATGCTGTCAGTGCTGCTTCTCCTTAGAAAACATACCTGCCTCTGCAGGCGTTGTGTGAGCTGTGTGCTGTCCAATACAGCTTGCAACCGGTACTCTGGTAACCAGGAATGGGCAATCTTGCAGATTTACCCCATCTCATTTGCTGTTCTTTTCCCATAGGCCTGTTTATGAAGACAATTAGGGTATATGCAAGAGAAAAATGTACAATACTACATTAAGAAAATGCCATTTCTATGTGGTTTATGTTTGTGACAATTTTTTTACTTGAGCAGGAGTTCAGGAATTGGTATGGGAAGATTTTACCTGTCACAACATTATATCATTTACACTCTCTCAGTATGGAATTTCTGCAAACTTGGGTGTGATTGATCTAATAATTGAAATTATTGTTAATGAATATGCCCCTTTAGAAATTTTGGTCCTAATGACAAACTATTCCTTTCTTCTCTACAAATTTACGAATAATAATAATAATATGATTTTAATAACAGGAAAGAATGTTACAGAAATGTTCACTGACGTCTATCTAGAAATACACAATGTGTAACAATCTGATTCATTGCATTGTAGATTGCTTTTTTCTTTTTTTCGTCTTTCTTTTTCCCAAAGAAAATGATTGAAATAGCTATCTTCAAATTCATCAGCTATTAACAATGTACTGGAAAATGTCTGTGTGTCTAAAGAGTGGAAGTCCTGTTGACTGTCTGTATCACTGAAGGAAGAATAGTGGTATGGTGTACAATGTGTAAAGTCTTGTTTATTGGGCAACAGGAATAAATTGTGAACCTGAGCATGATCTAAAGCATCTTTTTTTTGCAAATTGAATGCTGATAGAACATTGCAATATGTAAAGCTTCTTACAGTCATCATCACAAGAGCCTTGTGGAAAAAATTGAATGTATAATTCTGAAATTTCACTGGGGACTGTTTCTGTGTTTTATATTCTGGTTGCCTGTTCAAAATAACCCAAATTTAAATAATTCAGAAGGAACTGTCTGAGCGGAACAAAGACTAAATGGAGGTAATACTACATGAGAGAAATATTTTTATATTTTCATATTAATTTATTTATACACATGTTAAAGTTGTAATCCACTAAGCAGAAATGTGTGAATGTCAGGGCCTGTTACCTTCATCTCAGACTTTTCATTCATAACCAGACTGCAGTCTCTGGGAGGAGGAAATTTGCACAATACTGAGGATAAAAATCTTTAGAACTAAGGGAAGAACTGTTAGGTCTTAGCTAAAGCCCTGGGTATGTATCATCTTATGGCCAATACAGTAATATTATATGCCATAGTTAGTCTACTGCTCTGCTTTGTTCTTTTGATTTATACGTTTATCCTTTTTTGTTTGCTTAGTGAAAGTGATCACAGAACTAGGGAGGTTAGAACAAAACCCAAAACCTAGAGTGATTTGATAGAAGCTTTAATTTAGAGGAATTTGACAGTTTGGGAAGCCGGAAAAAGGTCAGTTAATCCTCAACTGAAATTTTAGGCAGGATAAGAAAGATGTAGAAGATGTAGAAAAGTATCTCTGCTTTACAAATAATCAAATTCTGTAGTCAAGGCTAAGTTAGAACTTCTGCCCTTGAATTATACTAAAAGTTTCAGTGATCTTCATACCAAAGTTAAAATCAATACCTTGGAAGTACAAGCTGGAAAAACAAAACATAGTTTGGCAGTTTTACAGTGTTTTATTCTGAGGTGCTTGTGAGCTATTTGCTGCTTTGGCTTTACAATTTTTCATGACGGTTGGTTGATTATTTTTGTAAGAGAAAAATAATCTACGTTTCAAAGATGGGCAGGTAGCTGATGTTTTTATGCACCTTTGTATGAGTGGACACATTAAAATGCTAAAGAAATTCCCATCTTCCAAATTAACTAATTTTTAAAAGTTTGAATAATTCATGCATAGACTTTTTAAAAATGTCCTTGGACTGTCATTTAAAAATATTTTAGGTAATTACCACCTGAATATAGTATATAGAGGAGTTAGAAACTAATAGAAATAGTTAAAACCAATGCCAAAATAGCTTCCCAAATCTGCTTCAAAATTCTAGATGTAAAATGAATTATTCTTCTTAAATAGTACCCCCAAATGGTGTTTCTTTTATATTCTTTTCCCCCAGCATGTCTGTTTTCCTTCTAAGGATCGTACAGATACTTTTTTGTCTTCTGTGCTGTGTGGCTTTTTTCTGGTTTTGTTTTTTTTTGGTTTTTTTGGTTTTTTTTAAGCTTTTGGGTTGGCAGTATTGATACTACTGTAGTCAGGTTTGAACTGGCAAACTTTCATGGGTGGTTTATAAAAGAAATTATTCTTGTGCTATGTTGTAGACTTTGATGCAGTCCTTACCACAATTTATGGAAAAGAGAAAAAAAAATTCTCAACTAAATTGCACTTTGTGCATTTTAGCCAGCAGAGGGAGCCAATATAAACCCAATGGCAATCTCAGAACATTTTGCATTTAACAAATAATGTTTACACATTGGAAGGAGATTTCATAAGGTATTTTATAGTCTGTAGTGAATATACATAAATTTTAAGGGGAACAGATGTGAAAACATAGGAATTTTTCTTCTAGTCTAGTAACCTTTTTCCAATGGAGGCCAATACGAGATTGTTCAGATGGAGAAAAGGTGCTCTCATCAGGCTCGTTTGTGCAAACATCTGAAAGTTGTAAGCAGAGAGACTGCGAAGAAATAGTAGAGATACTTCTTTATTCTCCATTGAAGTGTTTTTGGTGGAAATGACAACGTTTTTGTTAGGATAAAATGGAAAACTGGAAATATTCCAGTTAAAAATAAGAACTGCTCCTCCAAAGCAGTATATATAATTGCAAATTTTTTTTTGATATTGTAACTTAATAGTGCTTATATCCTGACATGTAGAAACTCTTGTCTTACATAATAGAAATACAGATTTCCTCTTATTCTTATAAATACATATGCCTTTCCTCATTTTTTTGTAGTGTACTTTAATCATATTTCTTGGGTATTGTTAAAAAAATTGCTTAAAAAAGTTGCTTTTATCCTTTTCCTTATGCTTTGGTGTAGTTGTGAACACCTGATTGACCTACATCTTCGGTTACACTTTTTTAAAACCTTCTTTTTTCCTTTTCTTCTTTCTTATTCAACCACATGCCTAGGTTTTCACTTGCAAGACTAGTGTCATTAGCTTTGAGTTCTCCAAAGTCTCTTATGTTACTATAGCTTTGGACTCTGTGCTTCTGTTCTGACACTATATCAAAAGAAAGCTCCTTCTTGTCTTCAGTCACTTTTTTTTTCCTCCTCACATGTGAAGGAGTTAAAAAAAATTAGTGTTCTGGGGATCAGCCTATTATATACAGAGTGATTTGGAGCATTTACAGTATGTGTGAGAATATTTGTGTATGTAACTGGGAGTAATAAAAGCAACATCTAGTTGGGCGCTGAGGAACAAATATTTAAAAGTGCTTAATTATTAATTCAGGAAAGGTATACTCTTAGCTCTCTGCAACCTGAGGATAGGGAGAGGCCGGTCCGGCTGTGATAGAAAACCCTGAAATCAGCGTCTGGAAATCCCCTTTTCTGTCTGTTTCTTCGGATTTGGATGATGCTCTTCTGATGCTCTAATCCTCTGGTGAGGATTAAGGTGTGTGTGAGAGTCAGTGACTCTGTAGCCAGATGAGATGGATGTGGAGAGTCCTTCTGACTGAGGGCATTCATCTCCTGTTGTGTAATAGCAGGTGTGAGTCAGAGGGAATTTGGGATTTCCTGGATGCTCTGAGGTATTAGTATTGAAGTGGAGATCCATGCAGCTTTCTTCTATAGGTGGCAAATGATGAAGTAGAATTTTTTTTTCTTTTTTTTTTTTATGGTGGATATCTGTCACATATCTCCCTATGTGGATCCATGCTTGTGCCATCTCTTGATGATACCATTGCATGCCAGCAGTTGCTATACCTGCATCTTAAGCACATCCAGGCATGGGAAGTGGTG